CGCCAACTGTCAAATCTTATCTCAAATAAATAAACACAAACGCCCGACATTCTGTCACCCTCCCCCCTCCCCCTCTTCCCACCACCCTCGTGTTCAAGATAAAAGATTGGTGATTTCTTTGTTTATTTTATATAATATCTCAGACTAAAGTTAGGATAATATAATTTGCATTGCTGAAATCCTTGCAAGACAGAGATTAATTTGAATATAAGCGTCATATATTTTGCTCAAGATATAAAAAATGTAGTACTTTAGTGTACAATACTGAAGTACATTTTATAAAAAGTTTTTGAACTGTATTTTTGGGTAGATTTACATAAATTTCTTCATTTATTTTCATCCATTTACATTCACACACCATACTAAAAGAAACGTAAAATAAATTAGTGCAAAGCTGGAGTGCACATGTACTAATTTGATTACGGTACTAAAATTGTTATGTCTAGTGCGAATTATAGCATGTTTATATTCAAATTAATCAGTATGTTATAAGAATCCCAGCTATGTTAATTTTATTCACCCAGGTCATTTCACTGGCTTTTTATAAGAGAGAAGCTTAGTCACTTAAGAACTGATAAATATACACGCGTTAGACCTGGGCCGGTGCCAACTGTCAAACGTACTACCTCCCCTCCCCCCACGCCCCCTCGCTCGCTCCCACCCTCTCTCTTCCCCATCTGCCCGGCGTTGCTGGAATCCTTGTAAAACAGTGAATAATTTTAATATAAACGTCATGTATTTTGCACAAGAGATAAATATAATCACCTGTATCACATTACAGTAATAATTTAAGAGTAAAAGTGTATATGTACGTATATAATATTCCACATACACGTAAGTATAAATAAAAAGTTTATGTGATGATCGGACAACGTCCATTTCGGTTAACGTCACGTTTCCAAGAACGTATCTAGGACGTTAACCGGCGCATGACTGTATATATATATATATATATATATATATATATATATATATATATATATATATATATATATATATATATATATATATATATATATATATATATATATATGTTTTATATCCTCTTAGAGGCTGTATAGGCATCTGCACATTGGTGAGCGAAGTAAAGTTATTCTCTGCTCTGTACTACAGTATTTTGAATTGATAGTACCCCAATAAAATTATAATACATATATAAATTTCTGTTTATTGACTAAATTTATTCCATTTATTTGCCATATATCGGACACTGATCTATACCAATTTTTTTGCATTTTTTGGTATAAATGTCATTTTCTCTCTAAAATTTGCACACATCTGTGACTTTTGGTTCCAGATGCGAAAAATATATAAAAAAGAGATCATTATAAAAAAGATATAAAAAATGTGGTTGTATGAAATTCGTTTTTGGCTGGATAATTGACACTTTTCTGGAACCGGCGCAAAAATTAATTACGCGTCTAAAGGGTTAATTATCAGTGATAAATATCCAACGTAACGAAACATGTACGGATATATATTTATTGTTGGCAGCTGTGTCAGCGACCCTGCCACTGGTACAATGTGGTGAGAAAATTGAGGAACATTTTACAACATACACAAAAACGATGTTTACCAACCTCAAATAATGGATACAAAAAGGGCCCAAGTTTTTTTCATGTTATGTAGAGTGTTCATCTTACGCTTATGGTAGTGGCATATGGTAAAAGGAAGTGGGAAGGTGTTTGTAGGGGTGGCTGGTGTGGTGTGACGTCTTAATTGAAATGGTGTCTAATCCTTTGTCGGGTTGGGGAGCCTCCCACAGCTGAGTACAATCGTCTGGTATTAGTTTAGAACAAAATAATGAAGTCCGTTCTGTCAGGTAAAGGATATAAATTACCTCAATTCAGTACTAAACTACTGTACTGTATTAAGTTTTACTCAGGGTGATCCACCATTCCTTTCAAAACATGCAAGCCATTTTTGCCACAAGAAGGATAAATATGAGTTACGAGTTCGTGTTCTATCTTATTTTGTCAATCTGTAGATTGTTGCAAATCCTACTGGTTAACATGTGTGTGCATGTGTTGCTTATTGGTGAGAAGACATACGTAATATTACTGTTACTCTAGGAATCACGGCCATACACTCTATATTTGTATTACAGTACAGGTGCTCCTCTACTTAAGAACGTTCAACTTACAAACTTTCAGAGATACAAGCATCATCACTAACAGGGGTTACCTGTCAGAACAGGTGTTTAATGTGGATGAGACTGGATTATTTTGAAGAAAATTCCAGATAGAACAAACATTACCTAAGAGGAGAAGAGTGAGCCAGGTTTTAAGGCTGTATTAAAGGGTATAGCTGTACTAAATATCCATAATCTTTCAATTTTTTACAATATGTTTTGTATCTACAAGAGTAAAGTTGGACTTACAAAGAAGCCTCAGTAACGTAACACGTTCGTAAGTCGAGGAGCACCTGTATACTATTGTCTGTCATGTCTGCATAACTTGATTTCATTAATCATATGATATACACATAATTCCTACTACTATTTCCCATTGACTATTCCTTTTAACAACAGTAACAGGTTATTGAAGTAATATTGTATCGTGTTATTATCATAGTCATGTGCTTCCAATATGTTTGAAAACAGTTCACGAAGATTTGATCTACGACCCCGTCTTTCATGGTAACATAATAACATTATTATTGATGACAGTATCTTGGGTCTTGAAACAAACAAATGTATGAACAAAACATTTTACGTGTTGACTGCAGGTGGTAGAGAGGTGGAGCAGGATGACCAATTGTTCCGATTGTTTAATTGAAATGATTTACTCCACATTTAATACTTCCTGAATTTCTATGTACATATGAAATGTTACAAATAAAAATAAGAGAACCAATGCTTGTTTGTTGAACACCTTTGACTTAAACTGACAAAAATATTTAATTTACACTTAATTTCTCAAACTTGTGGCCTTAGTAACATGGTACTGTATTACAAAGCTTGCCTAATCTGAGATTCTTGTTTAATAATAATTTCAATCACATACGTTAACCAATCATAATCACTGTTACAAATGGACGAGTTCATTCATAAAATTTTACACCTTGCTACGTTAGGGTTTCCAGGTACCACCAGCCAGTCACTGAGCTTGTAGCAGGTTCATTTGTTTCCAACTGTACATTTATCTATTGTGCAGAAACTAGAGTTAATAAAGAAACAAACTGTGTCAGACATATGTAAGGCCAAGGATAAACTTAATGGTGCCAGTACATCTATTGCAAGGAAGCATATGAAAGTGCCAAAGGATAAAGAGCTGGAAGAAGCAGTGTACAAGTGGTGGGATTAAAGTCCTTGGTGTGGAGATAGTTGAAGCAGCTAATAAGCAGGCTAAGCGTTTGGGCATTCTATTCAAAGCTAGTGATGGTTTTCTCTGGAGTTTCTGGAATTGCCATGGTATTTGTAACAGGAAGTTACACGGTGTGGCTGGGAGTGCTCAAAATGAAGAAGTTGAGCCGTTTAGGCAGAAGTTGAACCAATTCATCAAAGACGAGGGGCTGAACTTGGCACAAGTTTACAATGCTGATGAGACAGGGTTATTTTGATGTTCACTCCCCAACAACACTCATGTCTTTAACCAGGCCCCCTGCTTCAGATACATGTCAGGTAGGTCTGTATCCTAACCTAATGTGAGCAGAGACAACAGTGTGGATAAGGAAGAAAGTGATCATAGTGTTGGATGATTATATTTTCAGCCCATTCACTATCCCTGCAATGGGTTGTAGGGAGAAGAGCAGCTGAAAGTATTCTCTTTCGGTAGGTCATTCTGGGCTTATATTTAGGCCTAAAAGATCCTGATTGGACAGCCATAATTTTGAGAATCGGTTATTGATTAATCTTAATCGAAAGTTTTGCAAAAAACATGAATGTTTCTTTTATTTTTATCTTTAGTTAACTGTTTTTTTATGATTTACTGTGGATTTATTTTAATATTTGAAACAATACAGTAATTATTTTGTTACTTTATACTTTCAGTACTTCTACTTGAGTAACATTTTGCCAATGTGACGATACTTTTACTCAAGTAACAAAATCCGGTACTTTTGCAACTGTGCTAACTATCGTACAGTACTTATAAAAGAAAGAAAAAGCACGTAATAAAACAGTACGTATGATGGCCACCTTTGTTCTGTACAGTACATACATGCTGACCACTTGTTCCTGTTGGACAGGAAAGGGGGGAATAGGGGTGAGGTTGTTCATGGAGGCTAGACTTCCACTGAGTAACACTTGCCTCATGTTGCATGATTCTTAACTCATATGTCTTGGGTTTTTAGTCTTAAATGACTTCTAGTGATAGAAGGGGAACTTTCCTTGATTTTTGGTGTCAGAACGTGGGCAGTTTCCTTTGGGAGCTAATGGTTGAGGTACTGTAATATGTAGGAGTGTATTCACTGATTTCATTCAGATAATTTTCTGTGAAATCTTTCACGCCTTGGCATCATTAAAAGGTCTTTGGCATGTTTTTTGACCTTAAAGACATTTGTGGTACTATTTGTGAATTCGGGGTTTATGTTCAAATGCACCTATGCATGAACACAGTGAGAAATGACTAGTCCATTCTATATCCTATTTATGATTATGATGTTCTAGAGTCACTTTGTAGAGTATCCCAGAGGACAGTGGGTACCAAGTTTGGATCCTTGTTAGGTGACTGTTATTAGTGATTTTCTAGAGTGCTTCATATTATGAATAGGGCAGTTCTCCTAGGGAATAGAGAGGATTCTTAGTAATTAGGTATCCTATGTGGCATGGACATTTGAATTAATTTGTAGGGTATGGTATGTTATTTTCTCATTTGTGGATATTTCTCACAGTGTGAGCACAGGGTTATTATAGGAAGTTATTGTAGTTTATGAGTAAACATAGGCATAGTCTCTTAATACAGTTACAGTAGTGGTTTTGTTACTGTTTGAGTCTAATAGAGCATGATGTAATGACATTCTGGAAGTATTAAAAGCTGTTACAGTATTTTGTTTTTCAGATTGCTGAGTGGTTTACTGCAGAGTTCTTAAATCTGCATAGAGTTTATGCCATTAAAGAAGAGGAGCCTTTTCTTCTTAGGGTATTTACACGCAATCATGAATCAACAAATCGTGGCATCAGGAAGAAAGGAGGACGAAAAGTATGGTTATTTTAAGTCTATTACTGGTAATAATTTTTAGATATACTGTACTGTACAGTACTGTACTGTACATTAGTTCACTTATACGTGTGTGTAATTAACAGTGTGCTGGTTAACTGTGATCTGAATTTAAAACATTCATCTGTTTTAAAATTCTTTTAGCATACTGTATCAGTTTAATGTGTATGATTTATTTAATTTTTAATGTTTTGGGTAAAGTAACTAGTAATCACACAAACTGCTTGTTAATTTTTTTCTTCTTAAACTGAGTTGCTAAGCAGTGAAGTCAAATACAGTGACCCCTCTGTTAACGAACTCAATCCGTTCCAGAAGGTCGTTCGTTAACCGAAAAGTTCTTTAACCGAAACCATTGTTTCAATAGGTTTTTGGGTAATTGGTTCCAGCTCACCGAAAATTTCCTAAATTCAACAAAAATGGTAGAAAAGTTCACTTACTTTGAGGTGTGTATGTAGAAGGCTCCTGGATGATGATGATGATGATGATGATGATGATGATGATGATGATGATGATGATGATGATGATGTTGGGATTTAGAATGGGGGTGGAGGAGAAGGAAGAAGAGAAGGCATTGGGGTGGAAGAGAAGTCACCCCATGGCGCCATTTCACCCATAAAATTTTAGCTCTCTTGGTGTAATTCAAGATTATTTTCTTTAAATCAACACTGCACTGCATTATTTATTGTCAATATGTAAAATATATTTCAAAATGACCAATAATTTGCTTGGAAACACAGAAAAAAAGTGTTTAGTTGAAGAGAGTCTCAAGCAAGATGTTACCTCCAGTGAAAACAGAGAGAGACTAACACTTGTTTGGTGTGTTAAGAGGCTGGATGCCGCGCATTAAACTAGTCACTTTACCTTCAATTATGTTCAATAATTGTTAAAATGACTAAAAAATTGAATATTAAACTTATAAAATTATTGAATAGTATAAACTTCTTGATATTTACTAAAATAGTAAGGAATTTAAGCCCTAGAACCGATTAATGTATTGGCGGACTGATACTAAAGCTGGTTGCCCGGTCAGTGCAAGCGAAAACATGTTGAGGTCGGTTCGTAAGAACTTCGTTAACCGAATTTTTTTCGTTAACAGAATTGAAGATCCTTATGGAAGGCAGTTCGTTAATCGAAATTACGTTAACCGAGGTGTTCGTTAAACGAGGGGTCACTGTACCATATGTGCATAAATTTAGTAGCCAGCCATAATTCTTGTGTAATGCCCTAGACACTTGAGGGGTTACTATACTGTATGTATGCTGTACAGTACATACATTTAAGTATCGAATGACTGGTAGTACTGTATTTAATTTTTTATTTTATTTTTTTAACATTTGCCAGGTAATGTTGATGGGTCAAGAAGTATTTGGTGATGTGTTACTTGCTTGTGGTCACTGTGGTTACTGGTCACACGAGGGCAGTAATGTTCGGAAACACCTCAAGAAATCTGTGTGTCTTAAGGAGAAAGGATACTCAAAAGAGGATTTAGCGGGACTGGATAGAACAGAAAGAAGGAAATTTCTTAGAAGGGTGGCAGCAGCAAAATGTCGTGCTAAGAAGAGAGCAAGAGGTACCGTATGTAGTATGTTCCTTTGAAACTTCCAGTTTATGCTTAAACTAAAGATGGTAGGTAATGCTCTTGCAGATACCATCCAGGAGTTGAGATGGAATATTCTAGAAATTGTCTACAGTACCACCTAATGTTATTAGTTAGGGTTACATTCCTAGGGGTTATTTTCCATGTAATTTGTCTCAAAGAAATAGTTTTGTACACTACACTGAGATTTACTTCAAACAAAGGATTGTGATTTTTAAATACAGTCGACCCTCGTTAAAGCGGACTAATAGGGGGGGAAGGGTGTCCGTTTTAGACGATTGTCCAAATTAACCGATTTAGGGGTTAATATTGCATATTACGGTATTACCCCGCTTTACACGGTTTCTCTTTCCGCGATTTCTCATTTTCTCATTTACGCGGTACCTTGCCAGAACCAGACTTTCACTTTCCGCGGTGCATCTACTCATATACGCAGTGAAGTATAATTTTTATTTATTTTTTTATTTAGCTCATAAAATTCATACAAATTACTCGACCAGAATATAATTTACATTGCTGGAATTCTTACAATATGATGATCATTTTTAATATAAACATCATGGATTTTGCATTAGACATACAAATTTTAGATCTAATGTAATAATTTGGTTTACACAAAGCAAATATTTTATCTTTTGTGCAAATTATATGAAGTTTACATTCAAAATATTCCCTGACCTGCAAGGAATCCAGAAATGTCAATTATATTATCCTAACTTTAGTCTGAGGTATTATTTATTACTAAATGTTAAAATCTAGAGTTTTCACCCAAACATTAATCTGGTAGGGAGGGAAGGTGGGGGGGACGGTTGGGACCGACCGACCCAGCTGGCCTGAGTGTGAGGAGGGGGGGAGGCAAGGTGGGGTACTTTGATTGACAGATAGTGTCGTGAAGAATATTTTTTTTTATTAACTGAAGATATTTGTTTTAGCTCATAAAATTCATACAAATTACTCGACCAGAATATAATTTACATTGCTGGAATTCTTACAATCTGATGATCATTTTGAATATAAACATCATGGATTTTGCATTAGACATACAAATTTTAGATCTAATGTAATAATTTGGTTTACACAAAGCAAATATTTTATCCTTTGTGCAGAATATATGAAGTTTACATTCAAAATATTCCCTGACCTGTAAGGAATCCAGAAATGTCAATTATATTATCCTAACTTTAGTCTGAGGTATTATTTATTACTTAAAATTAAAATCTAGAGTTTTCACCCAAACATTAATCAGAGAGGTAGGAGCTAATGAGCTGGGAAGGGGGGGGGGGATTTGAGTCCATTATTTGAATGGACATTAACCTGGGAACTGTATTTCTCTTAAATATTAATTGTGTGAGCATACCATCATAAAATTTAGATGTTATTTTTACTACAACATAGGTATTGTGTTGGAAAAAGTGGAGTTTGGGGGTCGGGCCAGTCTCTGTTGGAATTAATCCATATGTTCTGCTGTTCACTTTACGCGGTTTTCACTTTCCGCGGTACCTTGTGGGTTCAATTGACCGCGTAAATCGGGGTACTACTGTATTGCATTATACAGCTATGTTTATGTTTATTTGAGTGCCCCGTCATAGGTGTCTGTTTTCTCTCATTTCAGGACGCCTGAGTCGTCCGTTTTCTCTTAATCTTGGAGTGCAGTGCACCAGAGACTTCTTTATTCCTTAGTAATGACACAGAATTTGATATTGCAACTGGGGTTGCAATTGTTGAGGCAACTTAGTTATGTCTGATTACAGTTGGAATATTCAAGATCCATTGTGAGTGATGTTTAAAGCTTCAACTGTCTTTATGGTTGGTAAAACTTGTCAAGTCTGTCAGTGTGAGTGGCATGTGTGAGGCCTTGTGTTTGTACAACCGCTAAATATATAAATATATAATGTTATGGTAATTATCAGAAACACACATAGGCATGACCAGGTTTGTTACAAAGTGATGAAAAGGATACTGTATAGTGGGTAGTCCACAAAACATGTAGCCATGTCTCTTTATTTGAGTGCCCCGTCATAGGAGTCCGTTTTCTCTCACTTCAGGACGCCTGAGTCGTCCGTTTTCTCTCACTTCAGGACGCCTGAGTCGTCCGTTTTCTCAATCTTAGAGTGCAGTGCACCAGAGACTTCGTTATTCCTTAGTAGTGACACAGAATTTGAAATTGCAACCCTAATTGCAACTGGGACAATCCCAGAACCAGAAATTTGATATTGACAGTTCAGATTTCGTCCGATTTATCCGAAATCCGGATTAAAGGGGTCCGAATTAACGAGGGTCGACTGTAAAAAATTACAAATGAATACAATAACATCAAAAGTGATGCTAAACGTCAAGATTTACGTAGAATGAATTTCTTTTATTAATTTTTGGGGAGGGAAACAAAGAATCAAATGAAAAATTAAGAAAACGTCAGGATATGATGTGCATGTTTAAGAAGGCTCCCCCATGGGGAGTGTCTAGGTAAAGGTGTCAATGAAAGTTTTGAGAGAGGCATATGGTGTTAATATATACCCACTATCTATGTTCTTAAGAAGCAAAGAAAGAAACTCCACTTAAATTCTTATAATTACTTTTATTTTATATGGGTATATTCTTGGTCGGGGGTCCGCCACTGTCTTTAGATATTTTAGAAGATTATAATTTTGCAAATCCCCTGAAAGACTTAAAATTTTGATTATGCCCTATATTGGAAGCATAATGTGTTGTCTAATGGTAGACCCTGCTGCCATATGGCATCACGAAAATTGTGACCAAGTCCCAGGCTGCTGATCTAACTTTCTGCCTCATTTACACACAATTGTAGGGTCTCAATTGTTTCTCTTGCCATTGACAACACAACATACTGTACGTATATTGTTTCTCACTCTTGATCTTTTTTCATTTTTGTATTTCTTTATGGTTTATAATTATTATTATTATTATTATTATTATTACTACTACTACTACAGGCTGTACCTCTCTAGTCCGGCATTCTGTGGTCCGGAAACTCCCGTGGTCCGGAACAATTTTAGTTTGCCCATGGAGAAAATTAATTTGAGTCTGGTACTTTCGATGTTTGGCTAAATTTGGCCTTATTTACCCTACTTTTTGGGGGAATTACTACCTGTAATAAAGCAACATCCTAATAAACCAACAAAAATAACACAGATAAAGTTAAATAAAAACTGAAAACATCACAGAGAAAGTTCTTATGTTCTACAGCTTCAGCTAGAGTTGAACCTGATGACTTGGCAGCTTCGTCATCCGAGTAAAAACACACACAACAACATTGGCTGGCCTTATGTTTTAAACTTTACCACCACTGGTGGGTAGAATTTTTGTTTTAAATTCCAAAACATTAATTAAAATATATATGAACAGTAAATAAGTGTTGCTTTCATATTCATCTGGAGAGTAATGACGATATGTTTTCACGTGCGCACTTACATAAGCGATCTCACTTATTTTTACCATTAATGGTTAGCTACTTCCATTGTTCCATTTATTAACATTAAATAACATTACTTAAAACGACCTTATTAATTTTACTACAGCTACAACCAGGGTCTTATTTTCTTCAGTTTTATATGTAGAACCAATCAGTCACTGGTTTTGTAAACATTAACGAAAACAATGCCGTCTTGTCTCCTCGTGTGTTTTAATATTCTACATATTATTAATGAATTGTATTGTTCATTTTGCACACATAAAAATTAATTCAATCAAAAAGACATTCAGTAATAAACAATAATGAGTGTTTTGTACATAGAGAAATGACACCGTTTACACGATTGTGCACGTCTGAATGTTGGCAGGCCGCTCAAACCCGTCGAAATTCGAGTTTCCACCATCGAAATTTTAAATTGTGCAGTGTTTTTTTTTCCAAGTAAAAAATGTTGAATTAAAAACTCGCGAAATTTGAGAACCTACTGTACAACATTTAACCATTCAATATGTCTTCAAAGAGACCACGAAGCAGTGAAAGTGGTGCTAGTCCCTCCAAGTGTATGCACAAGTCACTGTCTATCCAGGGAAAGGGTGAATTTCCATGGTCCGGAAATTTCCATGGTCCGGCACCGGTCAGGTCCCGAGGTTGCCGGACTAGAGAGGTACAACCTGTAGTACTAGGTATTTTTTTTTTTTTTTTTTTTTTTTAAATGCCCTCCAGCCTCTCCCAATAGCCATACTTTCGCCACCATTTTATTACCTTAATATTAAATAAACTAATACATAAGTAGCTACCCTAGCTGTGTTGAGTTAGTTGAGCCACAGATCTATGCGGCATTCAGTGACTGTTGCCTCATAGTCAATATCTGCAACTGTTGTCGGCTTTGGGGCCGATGATCTCATTCCCCTGAGGCAGAGCAAAGCCAACCTAAGGAGAGAGAAGGACAGTCGACATCTCATCCAGGCTGTAACATAACTTCTGGGCTGCTGCTTCTGTTCGGATATCACTTCTTCGAGTCTGGCGTAGAAGCATCTTGCACTTGGTCCCATCCCACCAGAGGTTGTGAACACTAGAGGAGTGAAGCTGCCTTGATCAACGTTCTGAATTCTCTCCCCGTGTGCCCTTATCTTGTCGTTCTCATTCCTCCTGTGTGGCCATGGGATAAAAAATCCTGATGTTGAAGAAGGCTCGCTGCCCCCGCGTCCAGATTCCTCGAGCACTGACGTCAACACAGGCTTCGTTGGATGTGTTTGAAGTCTTATGTTGGAAAATCTCACCGTCCAATGGAAGGAGGGTCGGTTCTACCCGGACATCACGGCAGATTTCCTTCAACATACTTGCTGTTAGATCCCTTACGTCATGCCTCATGCATATGAAGCCCCCTTTCTTGCACACCATGGCGTGATTGACGTCATAGGAAGAGAGGCCTACCGTACCTTAGAGCAGTGGCATCTGTAAATTCCTGTTTATTGAGACTGAAACCATTTGGCCATATCGGTAACGTAGTTAACCAGTTCGAGGCGCCCACCTTCTGTGCTATAGCTACTTTTTTTTT